TTCGTCGCTTACGCTTGGTCGTTCGGCTATCTTGTACCTGGAGCCACGTTGGTCGTCCGCGTGATAGACCGTTCGGTTCACATTAGTAGTAGCTCGTTCTTCGAATTCTGGACTTCCACTCAGATTCGGCTAATCATGGGAATCGAAGTACCAGAAGGAATTTCCTCATACGCTCGCACGAGAGGGGGAATGGGTGCAATTCGAGTGAATGTCGGTCAATCCGCGGACCCGACTGCAGTCATAGCAGATCTAGCGCACTGGAGAGGGGCGCATCTGAACTATGTGGACCCAATTGAAATCGGGGGCCAGTCCCATCCGTCGCATGATCACTCGGGGCAATCGATGATTGGCGCTCGCCCTAGCGTGTTTTCTACGTATTTAAGAAGGCGCCCAGTCTTCTCCTTGCTCCCTATCTCCCCCGACCACCACCACCACCACCCCTCTTCCCCAACGCTGACTGGATATGATGTTCTTTCGTCTCCCCGCTGTCCTCCTCCTCTTGGCCTTCGGGGCCTCTGCGGCGCCAGTAGCCGTTCCCCAGCAGGTAGCGGTGGTGCAGCAAGGGAAGAGAGAGGTGTGGTCACCGCCGGTCATCAATCCGCACAAGGGGACGATCTGGCACATTGGCTCGACTGTCACCGTCTCCTGGTATGTATACCTATTTTTGCTTTTGTGCTTTTGCACGCAAAACGTCACTGTGGCATGGAATTAATTCTCGCTTTCACGTGCAGGAACACGACCACGCGCCCCGCGCAAGTCACGAACCCCACAGGGACCCTTTTGTTGGGGTACCTGCAGCCCGACGGTGAGGGGGGCGAGAACCTCGATGTTGGTCAGTCCCGCCGCATGTTTTTTTTCTGTCGTCTCGTAATTTTACGTCATCACGTTGGTTTTGTTTCAGATCATCCCCTTGCGCAGGACTTCCCTTTGACCGCAGGGAAGGTCAAGTTCGTAGTCCCGCACGTCAAGTCCAGGAAAAACTACATCGTTGCTCGTGAGTCTCCCCCACCTTTCCCATGAGTCATGGGTCATGACGATGTTCACTGACTTTCTGCAGTTATCGGTGACTCTGGAAATATCAGCCCAAAATTCACGATTGAAAAATGAACTCATGTTACTCCATCATCTACTTTGCATATAACACTTCGGACACTGTACTGTTATTGAACATTGGACCGTATGACGTGGACATTGTATTATTAATGGACACTTTGATGTATACAGCAAAATATGCGCCGTATATAGTCGACCCTTACTCAGTCCTGCTGTGCATTGCATCATGGGTGCATCCCAATAGCTGAGCACCAAAATCTCGTGGTCTCGCTCGGTAGAGCGACCAAAGCGCGAATGGGATCCTGCTGGGCGTGCTGTCAGCCAACTGCGCTTCCTAGGACCCTGAACAGGTGATTTTTGAATTTCAATGGCTACGGCATAGAGTGGGTCCAGATCACACTAAGACTAAAGCGTGTTTCTGGGGTACTTGTAGTATTTTGGTCGTAATCATACGTTGTGCCGAAGCGTCGAACACACGCGTCCCCGCAGCCGGCTGAGGACCGCGCGGCACTCCCTGAATGTCTCCATTGGTCGCATCGATGGCCTGATATACTATACTCGTAAAAGTTAATCAAAGGAGACCTATGGATCATGATTGCTCCGGGGCTCTTGCCAACCGTATAATTGATTCGGGGATCAATACTAGGTCGCGACCTAGACTGAGAAGGACTGAGGAGAGAGGCAAGTTATATCAGAGGTGCGCGATATCACTCCACTGAATCCGTCATGTGCATTCCAAATCTGGGACACATAGTACTAGGATGAGGGGAGGCGGTGTCGCGCGAACCTGCGCGCACTAGGTCATGCAGCAAATAAGATCCGAGTTATGTTGTTGTGTAGAACCGCGGCCTATACACGATTGTCTACATCGTCCATGTGGTCCTTCATCTACTGAAAGCGCCAGTTGCAATGCACGGTCGTTGAAACGAATATTTGTCCTTGCAATTATGAGGTGGACGTCGCGCCGGTCGAGTGAAAATTGATGCGAAACATATTTCCTTCGCGCCTCGAATCGACTTGTGCATGTAGTTTGGAAGTGGGACTCACCTATCGCTATTATTCACCAGGTCCACGAATCTTCGGCTGATTTCCCTGTCCCGCGCGGCCTTCCAGGGGTGTCATAAATATGCTCTGCAGCTTTTCGAAGTCTGGCGTCCCAAGACCCGTGACCTATGCAACACAAATCAACCAACGTCGAAAATGAAGAGATACAAGTCTGGCGGGACGAACCGGATCCCATCCAGGGGCAGCAGAGAACCCATTGGTGCCGCAGCCAGGGTTAGAGCCAGACGTGATGTCGTTGAGGCCCGCAAATCCGTCGCCGTATAGCCGGACATTGAGGAATCCAAGCGGGGGCCTGCCATTTGTAATAAGATAGTCATTCAGCAGCGAAATTATGCCTGCCACTGTCTGGACACTGATGGTCAGCTGGGAATGGACAGTGCAGAGAGGGACAGAGTAGGGAAAGACACACGGGAGTCGAGCCGCTCGTGCCATCCACAACAATACCAGCGTTTCTGACGAAGAGTGGGAATCTGACAGCTTGGGCGGAGATGTCAGGGATGCCACGGCCGCCACGGCTGCATAATCACAAAGTAAGAAGCGGTTGCGTCAGGTGACAGCAGCGAGCGCACTTGTAGAGGCCAGCATACTGGGTGCCCTGACGCACAAAGAATGTGGACAGTGCGACGTTCTGGTAGACAGGGCGTGGAAAGTGGTCCGAAAAGCCGCCTCCAGAGAGGGGAGCTGCAATCTCGGGGCCGTAGCCTCTAGTGCCGCCGACGGCAGTGAGATAGGGACCTGCGAAACCACGGCAGGCTTGAGTAGTACTTTTAAGGGGTGATAAAATGCCGCGCGTACAGGACGCAGGGAATTCGGGGACGAACAGGAAGTTTCCCGAGTCGTCGTTGCAGTCCTTGCCAACGCCTTCGTCGCCTGAAGGAAAGAGGACGCTGACGCCACGGGCGCCGAGCTGTGCAAACAGGGTGCACAGGGCCCTCGCATATTCCTGCGGAACAATCCACTCAAGGTTGCCGTATGATATGCTGATGGTCTGCGGGATGTCCGTCTTTCTGAGCAAGTATTCGAGCGACTCGAGGTACATGTCTCCAGGGGCTGGCTCGCCGTTGTGCAACGCCTTCCCACTGCCGCCGGTACTATAGAAAATGATCGGGGTAGGGTACACCATGGCCGAGGCGTACTGGACGTCGAGGTTCGCCTCTATGCCGGGGTTGTCCGGGTCGTACTCACCGCCGTTCACCAGCTCGACGGTGAAGGTTGCCAGACCGGGAGGTTGCACATCGGAGCGAAAGGTAGTCATGTACATATTCAGATCCGTCTCACTCGGGTATTCTTTCTGGTAGCCAAATACCCCGAGCGTATTCCGGTCAGCCGCGGTGGGAACATATGCGAACGTCTTGTACAACCAGCGCAGTTGCGACGGGGCTGCGCGGCTCGACAGCACCGTCACGGGCTTACCCGACGCCGCCTCCGTCTCTGCCAGCGCTGCCGCTGCGTCGACAGAGCGCCTGCGTGGTGTCTGCCGCAGCGTCCGCGTGGAGGCGAAGTATGTCGTCGGCGCGACCGCTTGAATGTGTGCGTGCAATACCTCAGGGAGTGCATAGCTGACCGTCCGGATTATGGTGTCATTCACTTTGGCATGTCGGTATAGCTGATATGACGCGCCGAGCATTTGGTTGGCCTGTGACACGAGCACCTTGCTGACCGTCAACCACGCGCCGCCGTGTGTCGTTGAGATGGAGGAGGTCCGCACGCCGTGATGTGCGAGCCAGGAAATGATGAGCTCGAGCGTGTCTGGGTGCGGCCTGACCAGTTCGGCGACCTCTTCCTTAGAGAGGTGTGCGCCGTATCTGAAACAGAGGGGCGGTACACGTGAATGAAGGCGCGAGAGGAGCAGCGGTGAGATGGACGTGCCTTGGATGCTTGGGGTCGCTGACTTCGTATAATGCATCAATCAAGGCGCTCTCTTGGTGGGGATTGAGCGCAATGTAGAGGTCGATAGTGGTGCCGGCGGACGGGCAGCCCAGGGTCTCCCAATTAGCTGGAACGGCACTCCAGGTATGTTTTATGCGCATGTCGTCCCAAGGGGCGAGCGGGGTGGCGAAATTGGCGAGGGGTGTGGCAGTGAGGAATGAGAGGGCATAGAGCCAGCAGTATCGCATGTGCACAGGAGACCAGCCAGGAAAGTAGTATCTGGGAGTTCAAGTAGACTGTGCTGTTCAGAAGGCTAGAGGCCAGAGCCCTAAGGACCGGAACACTGACTACTTGGCTTGCAAGGCTTTTATAGAGCGTCAGGATCGAGTTTGGAGCGGAACGGCAGGTCCCACTATGGTTGTGTCAACACGCAACGCAACCCGCGGCTTTCGAGGAACTCTCAAATGGTAGTCGAAGGAGGACGACGTCCGGATGAGGCCCCATCCAAGACCCCCCTAATTCCTAATCTAAGAATCCGCTTCCAGCATACGATGGTCTTTGGACCGGTGGCTAGTAGAGAATGTTGGTCGTTTGAAGCAAGAACTTCAACTCTGCTGGCCTTGCTGCGGCCGCTGGCCTTAGCAGTATTCCGACTCGGAACCATGCCAGCCGCCGAAACTGACGGCATAATTACAAATCCTCTTTCAATCTGAGGTTTGGCTTTGGGTTTTTTCAGAAAAATAAAACTCTGATGAGAGGTTTATGCCCATGGTTTCTATATAAGTTACAGTAACTAGGTGTCGACTTCGTCGATCGGAACCTTGTGTCCGTTTCACGTTGTAATATAGGTCATGGTATTTTACGTGATTTCTTGTTCAGTTACAAGCAAAACCTTTTCATTATCGCATCCTATCAACTATCAGGATGCCAAAGTTCAGGGTTCGAACGTTGCCGGGGCTTGTGCTACTTTACGGGTGACCCGAATGATGTAAAACAATAAAAAGAACCCCTGAAGGTCTTGCCAGGGTTCGAACCTGGGTTTCGGGAAGTTTGAGATTCCGGATTCATCCAGGAGCAATCAAAATCCCGAGTGATAACCACTACACTACAAGACCATATATAACGCGACGTGATTGCCCAATCACATAAGTGCCTGGTTATCGCCCACAGATAAGCGCGACGCGACCTATCACGATCATGTGATAATGTTTGACTGGATGAGTACACAGGGGCAGACAATTCGGACTATGTACGGTTGGTTCTGCTCTGACTGTCATGTCAACGCGACGAATACGCTGTGTCCAAGCAAGTCCCTTCTTCTGACCACACCCACACACATACAGCCACGACCCCATTGCCTCCTTCGATTCACCGATGTCCATCCTTTCGACAATCGATAACCCATTGGAGCACCCCGACTACTTTCTAGGACCCGTCGAAACCATCGCCTGCTCGCTCAGTGCCCTTTCTTCTGGCCGGCTCTCCCTTCATGACATCACTGAAGCATACCACACCCTGTCCATGAGAATTAGGCGTTCGTCTAGCATCCTTACCGTCCGGACGAAGTCATTCCCAGCGCTCGAGCCGCTCAAGCGAAAAGGTGCTGACGTGGCGGCGGCCCTGCGGAGGGATATCTCCTGGGCCTTGCACGGTTCCGCGCCGCGTACACCTTCTAGCTTGTCTGATCCTACTGATGAGGGTGTAAGTTGGGAACCGACGGCATACAACAAGACTCATAGCAGCCGACTTGTCAACTCTGTGTCACTATGCTCTTCGCCTCTTGTCTGAGATATTTAGACTTCCTGTGCTTTCATCGGTCTTTTCAGGTGCGTTTAGATTTATGATATAGGAAGGAATCGACCTGACGATCTCCCCAGCACAACATCTCGGTTCTCTTCTAGAAGACGTCATTTGCATAGTTCGTTGTCCTCGCCTCCCATCATTCAATGCATCGAAGACTACCGCCCTTGCGTCCTGGATCGTCCGAACTCAGGAGCTTCCGAAAGCCATTCTGCTTCCGCGAATAGAGGTCATATTTTTATACCTTAAGTTTATTCTTGAAGCCTCGGCGAGAGATACCTAGTGTCAATGTAACCGTTGTGGATGTACTGAACTGTGCGTAGACAACCTCTACAGCATATTACAGCGCTGATCCGCATGTATAGTGTGTTACTAATTTATTGGTCCGACATCAGCACGTCTCCATATCACGTATGGCCGATCTCCTCCCTTCCATCTTTCCTTTCATCATGCACTCATCTTCGGAATTACGCCACCATGCTGCCACCGTCCTTGCATCTTTCTCCCAAACGCTTATTCACCCATAGAACACTTGTCGACGAGAAAATCATAGAGACTATATGCTACCATACGCATTCATTCCTTACGCCCGAAACAACACGCCACCCTACGTCATCGCGGAAGCTCCCTCCGCTCCTCGAATCAGCAGTCTCATCAAAGAGTTTCGATAATGTTGGCGAGAATGCACCTTGGGCGATGACCCTCATAGCGAGCCTTTCTGTTCTCCTCGGGTCCATCACTTTTTTTGCATCGCGGACCTCTAAAGCTCGTCATGAATATCGCACAGAAAGCCCTAAGACATCACCCGGGACGTGAGCTCAACCCTCACGTTTGGCGTACTTTCATCTGGTCGATGACCCAGCTCTATTTGCAACAGGGACCCGACTGCAGAAGCAGGTGACGATATTGTTCAGCGTTGCGTTCTCGTGCTTAAGCAAGCAATCCATGGTGGCCTTGGTAGGGCTCTAGTCTGGTCGCTGCTGGGGATGACCAGCAGGAACAACGGAACGAACACAGCGAGATGGGTCGTCCCTAGTACAGTCGAGATAGTGCGCGATATGCTGTCCAGCAAGTCGCAGGAGATTCGGGATGAGGCCTGTCAGTTACTCGTATATCTCACATGCGAAGCCAGAACGTCCGAAGGCGCGGCGCAGGAAGCTGAGTGGACAGCAGAGCCATTACTATCGCCTTTCCTATTTGACGGCTCGCTTCTTCGTGCCGATAAATGTCAAATCGAGGAGATAGTAAGGTCAACATGCGTCTTCTCACCACGGTGCCTATCCCCCGAAGAGATTTTGTCCCACTGGGAGACACTGTCGTCTTGCCTTGTTTCTGTCGTCCAGAACTCCGACTCCGACTTGACGGTGCGTCTTTTACACCTCTACTAATTCCATTTTTCATGTATTGGCGCAGACTATCGTTCTTCCTGCTGGCAGTCCCTTCTAGCTGTCCGAGCTCCGCTGATCCGACTGGATGGCCTATCCCGTACCTCCGTCGATTTTGGGCAATGGCTATCGTCCATGCTTTCCCAGTTCCTACCAGATCCCTCTATCCCTCTATCCGGAGATGCAGAGTCGATCGCAATCCAACTTCGATCGCTTGTCGTGTCAAGGCACCTTTGGGCGGTCGTCCAGAGCACCTTCCCGCGTTCTTGGCTAACCACTAGTGGCTTCCTCTCTCTTAGTAGCAGCTCTGCAGCGTACATTCCACCTTGCCGATCAGGACGTACTCAGAGACTGGAGTCTGCTGTGCTCAGCACTGATTATAGTTGGGATACCGAATGTGTTTGAGTTGGTTCCACACTTGGACGACGAACTGGGTTCCCTAGAAATTAGGAGGCAGCTTTGGCGCCTAGTCGCGATAAAGTGCGTGGAGCAAGGACCTGGTAATTTCCGGAATGTCATCTCCGTCCTTATTCTTCCCATCGGGTGAGGACGTCTGTCCTCTCACGAAAAACCGCTCTCACGCGTGCATCATAGTTCATGGAGTATGTCAGAAGATGATCTCGGCATCTGGGAGCGATTGCTCGAGCAGGGCCTCTCATCCGGGAAGACGTCTGATGGGTCTGGCGATATTGTTGACGATATTGCTAGTAAATTCCCTATAATAGGCCCTAGGTATGTGACTGTACTACTTCCATTCTGATTGGCATTGATGGGATGTAGCTTTCCTGTGAGCACTGCTTTGCGTATCGCTATTGTAATCCTCAGGTATCTTGACCTCCGCGAGGGAGATTCTATCCCTGTTCGAACGTTTTCTTTCTTGAGCGCAACTCTCGTGGCCTCCTATCCTCCGCAGTCAAGTACAAGTGATGCGATTTCCGCGCTTATCAAAGCCTTCCAGCATATGATAATGTCTACTCCTGTTTCGTTGCTCGAGCCAATTGTCCTCGAAATTCAAACAGGGCTGGCTGTCTGGATAGAAGACAAGCGATTTCTCCCTGCCGGGCGACGCGTATAACGATATTGTCCGTGATCTTCTTTTCCTTTTATCTTGCTATTCCTTACTTAGTCTAATTCGCAGCTCATGCCTCTCTACGAATCGCTCCTTCAGCGTTTGCAGCAGCTTCCACTGACTGTAACTTCTCTGAACGCCCTTTCCCCACTCCTCACCTCTGCGTTCTCGCATATTCCACCGCCGGCACGGGGACCAGCTGCGTTTCGGCGCTTCTTCTGTGCAGTGCACTCGGACTCCTGTTTTTCACCGCCCGTTGTCAAGTACAGCGATGATTTACGCGTGTGCATCGATGCGTGTATGCGTGGCTATGGTGGAGAGTGGCCATCCGGCATGGTCCCACTTAGCTCGCAGACCCAGACGCAGCTACAGTTGCAGTCTCAGACGATGCTGCTGGTCGATCTGCTCGCGGAATCTGGGGTCACCATGGATGTTGGACTTCCGGGTCTACACATGCGATCGATAGAGGTAAATGATCCGTGCTTAGGCTCCCGGACCCATATTGAAAGTAGATCTACGCTCTTGTCGACTCATATGTAGCACGAAGTTGTACCAGACTCCCAGTAGCCCCGCATCAAACGAGGCGACGCCCTGCCTCTCAACGAGCAAGAGTACACTCCGCGCAAGCACCTTTGCAACCTATCGACTTGTCCGCTAGATTAGGATCCCCGGACTGCCGCGTGTCTTCCGAATCACGTAACAATCGCTTCTTTGAAGAGAAGTCACGTATCCCAAGACACGCCAGCGTCCAAGCGCCGTCGCGCAGGACCGACTAACAATAGACCGTACAAGCTGCCAGCGCCTCTCGTGCGCGCCGCTCGACGCGACCACCGAGTGCATCACTCACCCTTAACGCCGAGAACTATCCCACGCACTCGACTAGTCATGGACTGCGTCGAAGTGGTTCCTCTTCACGAAGTTCTGCGCAGAAACTGAGAGGCGAGAAAAGCGGGACAATGGACGGAGGCCGGAAGCCTGGTGGTACGGACGACCAGACACCGGCAGGTCGGGAAATCATGGGTGCACCCAAGACGCCGTTCGTGCGCAGGACGGTTCGGGAGCGGCTGGAGAGAGACGAGATTGGTGAGTCGCTTCGTCCGCCATTGAGTACACCTCTGACCACCCATACACCCAAAAGTTCCCGAAACGCCAGACGAAGTGCTGCGACCGATCCGAACGTCGCAGTTGCGGGTGGCGCATAAAGTAACAGGCGAGCGAAATCGCACTCTCATTTATAGCTTTCTGACTGGGCGGATGCTGCAGACCCGGATCAGAGTCCTACGGTACGACTCACCAGGGCACGTGCCCGCTAGCGTCGACGCGGCTGACGTTACGCGTTTTGCGCACGGGGGGGTATCGCAGATACCGTAGGGGAGCTGACATGGTCTGGCCCGTACGAATGCCTGGCGTGGCGGCTACGTGTTCTGACCAGAAATATGACGGCGAAGTTAACATACGTTTTACTTTGATGGTAGGATAAGTGGTGGTCTTCGTCCTAACCGTGAACGGAGGGGCGCAAGAGGTTGTGCATCAAGTTGTGGCCATCATACGATGCCCGCAGCAATCACAAGTGACTTCGATTGGTAGCATAACTTATCCACCAGGGATGTGCTGCGTAAATCTCAGGACCAATGGAATCTCGGCACTTTATTTACAGGTATTTATACATCAGTCGCCAGTGTGCACGACGTCATCGCGTCATCAGTGATTTGAGGAGTATCATTGGCGAAATTTGAATGCACCAACTTTCACCAGTTCCCGATACCGAAATGGCCACGAGACAGTCTGGGAATCACCTCTCGACATATGACTCCATCGTCCCCTATTACTGCTGGCGTATGCTCGACGGCACTCATGTGCT